GGAAATCAAAGAACTGAAATGTATCATGCACTAGTACAAATTTTTGTGAGAAATACTATGCGAATATACGAGTACTAAGAAAACACTCGATGAGCAACACTCATCCAACTACGATTACTCGTGCCAGTGCATATTCCTTATAATAACCTGATATGACGAAAGATTACAACAAAATTGGCGTGTATGAGCCATTCAAGTAAGAGTACTCGTGCTCAAAATACTTTGGTATATGAAGTTACAAAAAAAGTATCACCAGACTTTTTGCGAAAACGTAATTACTAATGTTCCAAAAGAAGCTATAACCTCTGCAACAAGTTCTGGCGTGTGTTGCGCCGACTGCAGCCGAACTGCCCGAGCTTCCGTTTCATCGATATATAGGGTAGATGACGGTCGACCAGGCATTATCATTCCCGGAGGTCACACTCCCTCTGCCATGTCGGACTGCAGTACTTTTGCGACTCTGGTCTCCTACGCAGTTCACTATAAGTATAGACGCCACAGCAGTAACAATTATAGGAAACGGAGCTGTGAAGCTCCCACTATGCACGAAACCTGCGACCCGACCTTACCATCCTCTACCTCGAGGAACTCTGGATGACATTAGAAGTGCACAGTGACTGGCACAATACCTTTGTGCACACCAAATACTCCGAACAATTATCTGTGAATATAAGGTTATTGCGAACAAGCGAAGTATCAGTAATTGATTACATAGAAATAATGTGAAACTAAGCACTTCATAAAATATCGTAGGAAATAGTATATTCACAAAAATAGTATACACAAGTATATAAAATAGAGTGTATAGCAACATATTAGGCTCACTCTAAGCGTTCCGAGGCAATTTTCTGCAGCACCTCAGCGTCCAGTTCCATCCACATCAGTTGCGTTTCAAACTCCGAGTTATTCTTTGTGATGACCGCGATCTCATTGGCGACTAGCAGTAGAATTAGTGAAGGTGCGATGATGCAAGCTGGGACTACGATTCGACTCGAGTTCGGATAACGCAATCGGCAAGACGAAGAAGTACCGCTGACGTTGACTGCGGCGGCGATGGCAACGGTATTGCAGTAAAGAGTTGGAGGGAAAGCATGGCCTGGTGGCGCTCTCTCAATCCTTACTGGTCAGGGTACCTTCCCGACGGGACCACTGTGCGCGACGCACTAATGTCCCTTTGAAACCGAACGGCACCACAGTACCTCTTTTCAGAAGGTCTTCTAATTAGCACTAGTTCGTTTTATGGACAAAGGTACTTAAGCGGTTCGGAATCTTTAGGAAGTTTCGCACCAAGGTCCCATGAGTTCTCTCAATTCTTTGGGAACATTCTGGAATGTTAAATAGGGGGATTTTTTGGAAGAGTAAGAGGGAAGACGATGAAATGCAATTGCTCCAGATCATTCAGGAGAAGTTGAGAGCAATCTCTCGAGATAATGCATCAACAAAATCGAGATCACTTTCGGGACAGTCAGCAAGCAATACTTTGAGTAGGACTTGAGGGAATTACGAAATCGGTCTCATGAATCACCTTTAGCTGGACGTATTGTTTGATATGCTGATTTTGAGGTACCCTTTCTAAGTTGGAACGGACGTATCGACGGAATTAGTGTATCAGAGGGAGAAAACTTTGAAAATATGCCCCATTTGTGAGCTTTGAGTATTCCTGAAAATTGTAGAAGTAGGGGGCGAGATACCACCATGGCGGGACATCTATTGAAGAGGTCTTTGGACAACATCTGAGCTGTTACAACTGTGTAAAGAGCTGGCCGCAGAAGGTGAAAGCAAACCAACCCAGAAAGAGTAGGTGGTGTGTAAGAGTGAGAACGTGACTCATAATCTCACCGAACTTCATGACATGCTGTTTAGGTCAGATTCCGGGATGAAAGGTCCAGCACGCACGAACATAGGGTAAATTATTGTTTTATTAGAATACACAGTTTGGTCGCAGTTTATTCGAACTATTCTCACTGCTAGTCGTAATCACATACATGGGTTGTTTCTCGTTAGAGACAATGCTGGCTAAGCGATCACATTGAGTTTCTGAAACGTAGTTCGTGTTGGAAATGTGGAAGAGGTGTTTCTGTGAGTATTCTAGCGAGAAAAGGGGACAAGTGCTTCGTACTTTGCCGACACCTTGCCACTTTAATAACGTGAACCACGTCTTCGAGGAACCTGTTGCTGGTAAAAAAAAAGTAATATTTTAATAACCAAGTCTTCTGCAGGAGGAGCCCACAGATGCAGAAAGTGAAACGTAAATAACGTTATCCAAGTCGACAAAAATGGTGCTGATACCTGCGATTCGTTCAGTTATTGCTTCATATTCGGCATAAACAAAATAAAGTATTCAACTATTTTTATTAATTCTTTGTTCTGCAAATCGAAAGCATGATCTATGAATAGAAGGATGTTCTGTAACTAGAAATTGCTAGAAAGGCTAACTCCGTTCACTACTTCTGCAGAAGTGAATTCTTTCCGAGTTACATCCGTATCAGAGAGGATCGGCACCTAGTAAAGGTTAGGGTGTAGCCTACCATTATGCTGCGGTCCTTCACTATACACGCGGCAAGGTGGAGACCAGAAGAATCGTGATAACTAGCTTGAGCGCGTGGCGGTACTTTGTTAGCTGCTCGGGAAGAGCTAGAACCAAAATCACTGGCACTCACCGTTACCTCCTCCCTGAAGTTCGTGGGCATACGGCGAGTGCCGCATGCGTTTGTTTGGTTGATAACACGGTAAGAGTCAACATGATACTTGACAGCTATACTTAGGAGGCAAGAGGAAAAGAAGAACCAATTGAGTAATCCAAACATTGGAAGTAATGGGTTCAAAAGTTAACCTGCCTCGTAAACCTAGAATCCTAAGCTCACCATTTGAACCAAGCAATCGTCGGTTAATCTGAGGGCTCCTATGGTTAGTTTGCTCTTTTGTGTTTGATTTCCTTCGTGACCTTATTGAAGTTTTGTGAACTATCGCACACATGGAACTTTCGCCATCAGAGCGCATTTTTCGTGGTATCGAATGTCGGAGAATAAGCATGAATAAGTGCAAAGGAACTACACGAAGCTGGCCGAGACAGCCCGGGCTTTCAGTAAACACTGACTCACGGCCTTCAGAGGATGCGCTTCCTTGCGCGCGTCCGTCAAACCCGGGTCCGGGAACTTCTCCCCTAACACGGCGTCGCACACGCCGCACCCGCCGCCTATCGCAGGATTGCGATGAAAGATTGGAGCGCGCAATTTGTGAGGTAGGGAGTCCTTTAATCATTTGAATTGGCTGGTCGCTCCCTTCAATTTCAATGATTTTGTTGATCGTCGTTTATATAAGAGGAGTCACTTTAATTAATTAAGTCTAATAAACATGAAAACCAAAAAGAAACAGAAGAAAAAACGATAAAATCCAATGAAAAAGCAAGCCATCAAGGAAAAATATCGCGTCCTATCGATTTTCGGGAGGCGGGGTGAGTACGGNAATTGCAGTGACATTTGCCGCATGCCGCAAGGGAGAATGCCGCGATAGGGGAGAAGTTCCGTTACCCGTTAAACCCGGTACGCTACAGCTCGCACGCGCAGCGTCAACCCGCAGTTCAAGGCAAACGTCGCAGTTGTCAATGGGGCATACGATTCGCGCTTGGCCCACGGCAGCCAGCTTAAGGAGAAGGTAACTCAAACCAATGCGAACCATTCGCTCCACTGACACTTAGTGATACTGCAAAGCCGTCTCGAGATCGCAGTGGGTTGTGCACCACCTAGAGTGGGCGAGGTGACCTAGTTTCGATGGACGTCCCCCTCCCCGGGTTAGCATATCTTGCCAATCATTGGCTGCTTCGATAGTCCACAATTTCGCGAGCTACCGGTCGCGGACCTATCGAGCAAGCCGGTCGCGCGACTTATCGCGCTACTGGTCGCTCAGTCGCTCGCTCGCTAAATCGTGGACTATGAAAGCAGCCATTGTCGTTCATATTCCAAAAAAAAGCTATTCCGTATTAACAACATCCTTTGTGGCCCAAGAAGGGTAACGAAAT